GAAGAAGGTGATTGAGCTTGCTGAGGAAGTTGAATTTGAGGAGATGGACCTGGTTCTTCGTGATGAAGAGGAGGACAAAGAAATGGAGGTTGAGACTCCAAAGGCAAAGAAAATCAAGACTTCCAAAAAGAAGTTTGCTTCATAGACAAAGTCTGCAGAGCCTTCCACCTTGGCTAAAAGAACCAGGTCTACATTAAAATCTAGAAAAGTGAAAGTAGTGGAAGCAGAAGAAGGGAGTGAAGAAGAAGAAGAATCTGATGCAGAGAAACACATGATGGTTAAGTTTGGGAAAAGAACTAACTTGAAAGGTAGACTCTTCAGGAACTTGGAGGAGGAATGTATGATGATGCTGCTATAAAAGTTACAACTGCAGGGTTAGAAGGACATGGTCACTCGGATGGATGGAAAGCTTGCCAGAACTGAGATTGTGGAGTTCATGGCAAATTGTGAGATAAAAAATGGCAGCGTTACCAGTATGGTGAAGGGGGTGACAGTGAGTTTTGATGACAAGGAACTAGGAAGATCTTAGGTGTACCTGATAAAGGGTAAAATGATTACAAGAAGCTCAAATGGCCAAGTCTAGAGAATCTCCTTACCTCCTTTGCCATTATATGGAAGTTTGGTGACAATGAAGAAGAGCTTCAGCCCAAGGCTATATACAAAAGTGAGATGAAGCCACCCCATAGAGTGTTGTTCGAATTTGTTAACAAAATTGTGCTGCCTAGGCACGAAAGGAGGCACATTGCCACATTTATGGACATGGTCCTTATGGAATGTCTGGACAGTGGAAGGCAAATTAATTAGCCTGGATTTATCATCCAGCTTCTTGATAGGGTTCTGACGGGCACCAAAGCTCATGTCCTTACCTCCCTTGCACACTTTAAGGTACCTATCAAGAAATGAGAAGTTAGTATAAGCAAGGATCACTTTGGGGCAAACACTTAAACTGCTTGTGACTATGAAGTCCACACCACTCCAAAGAACCTGGTTCATCCAAAAAGGTACCTATAAACAGCAAAGTGCAAGCCTTGGTGCAAGAGAGTGGGGCTAAGGATGCTAAAATTGAAAGACTGAAGAAGAGGTTGGCAGAAGTAGAAACTGAGAGAGATGCTCTCAGAGCTGAGCTTACAAAGGAAAACGAGAAGAATGATGGTATTCTTCATGATATGCTGAAACTGCTTCAAGCTAAGAACCTAGTCCTTTGCAACATTAAGACCTTCCTAGCCTAGTTAGACAAATCAGTGACCCGGATGGGATTTTTTTTGTTTTTTTTGCTCATGATCCAGTATTTTTATTTCTTTTTATGCTTTGTGGATGACTAATATCAATGACAATTAATTGTTTGTGTGCTCTAACTGTTTGTTGATGCTTCTTAGATGGCTAACATCATTAGATTGATAAAGGATTCTTGACTCCATGTTTGCATTTAAAGTATCCCCAGTGGCCATGATTAATTTTTATGAAAATATAGTTATCTAACATAATTATGCAACTTTTCGATGATGCCAAAAAGGGGAAGATAAGTATTTGCTTTTTACTTTGGACTGTGATATTTATAACCTAATGAACCTGGTCCTTGATGATTAGTGACTTTAAAATAAAAAGTGTTCTAACTTTGTGTTAGTGTTGAGCTGAGTTGAAACAGGGCTTATGCTTATGAAAAGAACAGAGTTTGTCATCATCAAAAAGAGGGAATTTATTGGCCCAAGTGAAATTTGTTTTGATGATTTATAAAAGAACTCAAGCATGAACCAAGTCCATACACAGTAAATACAGACACATGCAGAATTCGAGCACAAGACATGTAAGTGAAGGAGATAAACTTAAGTTAGTATATCTGATATCTCCTGATAAAAAAGGTTGTATAAGTGATAAGGAGAAGGACTCCTTACTCGAAGAGAACTTTATCCAAGATGAGGGAGGAGTTAGAAGTTGAAGATAACTAGAACTCTTCCATCAATGAAGAGTATAGCATTTGAACTTTAGTTATTTCATATTCTACTAACTCTATATATTTTAAGATGTTCTTATTTTACTGGTATGCACAAACGCTGAAGTTAAACGTGAGTTGAGAGCAAAATAGCAAAGCATTTTGCAAGCAATTCTTGTGTGGTTCAAGTGTGCGAACTTGAAGCTACATGAACCAGATAGAAAAACAAGTTCCAAGTATTTGTCTTTTATTCTATGGTGTGTTTGGTATAACGGAAAATGTGTTCCGTGAAAAATAGTTTCCAAACAAATATTTTCTTGGAAAACAAGTAGTAATCTTATTCATTTTCCGGTGTTTGGTATGCAAATTAAGGAAAATGACTTCTCAAGAGTATTCATAAATAATTTATATATAATAAACATGAAGCCATAAACTTTCAAACCAACAACCTTCCGAACTCATAAATTGCATAAACTTTCGAACCGCTAAACTTTCGAAACCGTAAAATTTCGAACCCCTAACTTCCAAACACATAAACCTCCGAACTCATAATTTTGGAGCTTATAAAATTTTGAACCTTTAANTGGAGATAGGGGTGGGGTGTGTCGGTGAGGGTGGGGAAGGTTGAGAAGGAGTTTTGGAAAATATTTTTCCTTCTCTTGATAAAAAAAATATTTTCCTCCAATTGGAGGAAAATGAGTTCATAAGGGATATGTTTTCCAAAACATTTAAGTCAGCCAAACATGGGAAAATTGGAAAATAATTTTCGGAAAATATTTTCTTTCATACCAAACACACCCCTAATTTCATTGTAATAGGTGTTTTCAAATTGTACCTTTCAGTTTTATCTAGAAGCAATTATATTAGGTACTCTGAGTAGTGTATTCAAGTTAGAGTTAACTTAAAGTTGTCACAAGAGTTAGAGACGGGTTGCTACAACGAAATTAGAGGTAATCCTTAGGTTTACAAAATATTTTGTAAATGCTGTTTTGACTTAGTGATTTAGTGAAGTGTTGGAAAAAAATCCTACTGAGTAGTAGGTCGTGGTTTTTTCACCTTTTGAGCTGGGTATTTTTCACTTAAAATACTTGTGTTCTTTACCTTCCACATTTATTATTTTCGCAACAGTAGTATAAGTAACACATAGAAAAACAAGATCCTTCTATAATCTGTGCACGCAAAAAATTGGACACCACACAAATCACCCATCTTGTGCGGTATTGAAGTAGTTGTTATATTGATATAAATTATATCCACAAACAGTGCAACGAGATTTTGGCTCTCATGTATAATATCTAGATAAGGAGAATAACTACGTATGTTGACTTATTCGTTGCATTTCCAAAAGTAATAGAAATTACCATGAAGTTGAAGCTGTACCAACTTTTCTTGTTTGTGGAGCTAGAGTGTCGACGACGTGTTCGGTCGAACCCATCAGGTTTGTTCAAACTCTATATTTATCTTGAAAAGATCATTGATTATGTATAAATTATTAATTAAATTTAAAATCCAATAACTTAAAAGAAATAGAATCCTGAATCCATAAGTTTGAAATCTTGGATTCACCTCTGGTTATTGGACATCCCTTGAGCCATAGGATATGTCTAGAGTTACAGAATCTTTAACTTTTGAGCACTCCATTTTACATTCACATTGGAAGCTTCCCATTATAAGAAGATTGTATTACTTACATCTAATTTTGACCATAGTTAGTTTCTTAATTTATAAGACTAATGTATGGCTCCAAATTTGACCAATCACGACCAACGACGAGTACGACGAATGACGGGGTCTCCTTGAATCGATGTCCTGAGGGGGACGACCTTAAGGCAAACAAGACACTGCACGACCCTTGTAATAGTGTAGACCCATTAGGGGACATCAGGAATATTCCTTCGAATATTCCTTGTAATTTGTCTTTTACAGCATAGAAGAGTTTCGCTCTTTGTATATATAGAGGGCAATAACCTTGTAAAAGGGGGATCCGAATATTGGTTGCATTACTGTTTACAAATGAGAAGATTTCTAAAGGTTTTTTACTAAAGTAGATCATTAAATAAATCTTGTGACCCGCCTTCTCTTTATCGATCATTCTTTCTAGAGATTTTTTACTCAGCTAAGATTTACCCCTTCATCTTCGATTGATTTGTTCAAAAAGGTTTCAATATTTTTTGAGTAAAACAATTTAGCGCCGTCTGTGTGGATTTCTATAGCTAAAATCGTAGTTTTCATCTAGATTCTTGACAGAAATAATCACTTTTCTTCAGCTTCATAAAAGCCAACAATGGCAGGAAAGGGAAAAGCGAGGCTAAAGGCAATAGTAGGTGTCACAAACAACCTCCTGAATTCCCTCAACGAAGCTAGTGGAGAAGACAATGAAAATGCAACACCAAGTGTTACACCTGAGGGAGAGATCTCATCTCCCCCGCACGGGGATCTAACGATCTTGCGCAAGAGGGAAACCTCAACATCCGCAGCAAGAGAAGCACCACCAGCTGTCAAGAGGCTTAGAAGAATGGTTGACTGGTACCTTGAGCAACATGCTCGAGAAACCCGTTTAGAGAGGTATCGAAGACACATTACCCGCAGAAACTGCAGTTGCTGCCGATGAGCCAATCACTACACGAACATGTAACACCCGTACTGTTACTAATACAGGCGATGATGCACTTACGGCCATCTTAAAGAAAATGGAAGAGATAGAAAATGAGAACAAAACACTCCGCGGCCAGATGAAGGAACATCAGAAAAGGGTCGATAAAATACCAGGCGCTCCGAAGTTGTTACCAAAATGCGACGTGGGCCGATTCATCGAACAACCATATAGCAAAGGGCAGCACCCCATTCTATTCCAAAGATCTTCAAAATGCCGTCATATTTGAAAATATATGATGGTACCACGGACTCGGAAGATCACTTAATCTATTACGTTTCCGCAGTAAAAGGTAACAATTTATCAAAGGAATAGGTGTTGTCTGTACTGCTGAAAACGTTTGGCGAAACTCATACAGGGGGAGCGCTGACTTGGTATTCCCAACTACTAGCACGATCAATATCAACGTTCGAAGAGATGGCAGATAAGTTCGCCACCGCGCACGCAGGAGCGAAAAAGGCAGAGGCTAGGGTTAATGATATCTTCGCCGTCAGGCAAATGACGGGCGAGAGACTTCGAGATTTCCTAGCCCGATTCAATAGGGTAAGGATGAGCCTACCAAACGTGTCACAAGGGATGGCAAAAGTAGCCTTTCAAAATGGGCTAAACAGAAACGGGTCAACGGCAACCAAAAAGCTAATCAGTAAACTTTTGAAGTACCCCCTACCACGTGCGAAGAGATCCGCAATGCCTATTGCGCCAAAGTGCGGGCAAACAAGGATGACCTAAATGACCTGCTTCAGCGATTAACATCAGTCCAAATCGAGACAAGGAGAAATCGCTGCAATGACGGGCAAAGAGATCAACTACCGCATTTCTATCGAGAAAGACACCAGCCTTATACTCGAACATCTAATCTGCCTCCTCCACGACATGCAGATGTCGCGCCTTGACATATTGCACCCCCCGAAACTAAAGAGGTATGACTCCATTGCTATCTGCTCACAATATTTGTGTTTCTCCTTCAGAAATAGTGTACGCATTGGAAAAGCTCGGCACGAAGGTGCAGTGGACGCAAAAGATAAAGTCGGATCAGAGCATAAGGAGGTCAAACATCCTGTGTGAATTCCTCCAAGAAAGAGGATACAAGATCGAAGATTGCATAGGTCTGCAACAAGAAGTAGTAAGAATGTTAAACCAGGGATACCTGAAAGAACTTCTGAGCAACAGAGGACGGGCCAATTTCGCTCGAGGGCGCGATCAACCTCAAGGACCTCCAAAACCACCATCACCAGCTCGTACTATACAAATGATCATTGGCGGCGGCGATGACACGGTAATCAACCATGTGAAATTCACCACCACACATAAATTCAAATGGACAGTTGCCCATGAACGGTATGACGACCTTGAAGACAGTATCATCTTCAATAAGTCGGATACCGATGGTTTGTCTTTCCCTCACTATGATGCTTTGGTTATATCTTTACGCATCACAGATATCGATGTAAAAAGAATAATGGTGGATGACGGAAGCGGCGCGTGTATTGTTCACCCACGAGTTCTCATGCAGATGAGGCTCGAGGATAAAATAATACCACGTTGCATAACACTAACGGGCTTTAATAATGTAGTGGAGCGAACATCTGGAGAAATAGTGCTATTTGTCCTGGCTAGCAAGGTCACCTTGGAAACGACATTCCACTTCATGAATTAGGAAACAACCTACAACGCCATCATATGACGCCCATGAATACACACCATGCGAGCCATCCCGTCAAGTTTCTATCAAGTAATCAAATTTCCCACCCCATGGGGGATATTCAGCATCTGAGGCGAGCCACGCACCGCCCAAGAATGCTACCGGATCACCCAATATTGCACACACACCAAACAACTAAAAGTGGCAAGTGTAGAGGAATAACAATCAGCCATGTCGGGAACCAAACCCGATGTACGAGCAGAGGCCATCAAAGACTCGGACATCGTAGAAGCTTGTAGGGCAACCGTAGAAGATCTTGATCCCGTCTAGCTGGACAAAATTGATAGCACGAAAAAGGCTTATGTTGGACACAACCTCTCGGAACCAGATAAATATCGTGAGTTTTTAACTAACAAAGCCAATTTGTTTGCCTTTTCCCACTCAGATATGCTAGGAATCCCAAGGGATATCGCCACACACATGCTGAATATCGATCTGTTTTACCCGCCGGTATGGCAAATGAGGAGAAAGTTCAATGCCGCCATCAATGAGGCGGTCAACGAGGAGGTTGGTAAATTACTCGCTAATGGTTCCATCAGAGAGTCGAAATACCCCCAATGGGTCATGGTAAAAAAGAAGAACAGGAAATGGCGGATGTGTGTCGACTTTACCGATCTAAACAAAGCTTGACCGAAGAACTCCTTTCCATTACCCCACATCGACCAGCTCATCAACGCAACAGTGGGGTACGAACTGCTGAGCTTCTTGGATGCCTACTCCGGTTATAACCAAATTCTAATGGCTGAAGAGGATCACGAAAAGACAACTTTCATCACTCACCGAGGAACGTACTACTATAAGGTAATGTCATTCGGACTCAAGAATGCAGGGGCCACGTATCAAAGATTAGTTACCAAGATGTTCAAAGAACAGCTCGGTAAGACCATGGAGGTTTACATCAATGACATACTAGTCAAGTCGACAAAGAAAAAGGATCACATTGGCCATATGAAAGAAGCCTTTAAGTTATTAAGGCAATACGGGATGAAACTGAATCCCGAAAAATGCACCTTCGGCGTAACTTCAGGAAAGTTCCTTGGTTTCCTAGTGTCACAAAGGGGTATCGAGGTCAACCCGGATCAGATCAGGGCTGTCGATGCAATATCAGAGATACTGACCAGTAAAAAGTAGGTACAGAAATTAACAGGATGAATAGTCGCCCTATCGAGGTTCATTTCACGATCCTTGGATAGATGTCACAAATTTTTCATTGTGCTAAGGAAAGACCACAGACTACAATGGAATGAAGAATGTATCGACTCCCTAAGAAAACTGAAAGCGTATCTATCTTTGCCACCACTACTCGTCAAGGTGGACCCGGGTGAATGTCTACTTGTGTATCTAGAAGTATCCGAAGTTGCGGTAAGCGCAATTTTGGTCCGTGAAAACAAAGGTACGCAATCTTCGATTTACTATATCAGCAAAACCTTAATCGATGCCGAAACAAGGTACCCTCACCTTGAAAAACTAGCTTTGGCATTAGTCGTAGCTTCACGAAAGCTTAGACCATATTTTCAATGTCACCCCATAAAGGTGATGACAACCTTCCCCCTAAGAGGTATCCTGCACAAACCTGAACTATCGGGTAGACTGGCCAAGTGGGACATAGAATTAAGCGAGCACGACATAACATACCAACTGCGAACTACCGTTAAGTCGCAGGCGCTCACTGATTTCATCGTTGATTTCAGCGCGGAAATATTGCCTGAAGTAGAACAAGAAGCGCTCCACGCTTCCACACATGCCGACCTCTGGGTCCTCTACACTAACGGTGCCTTTAATGCCTCGGGATCGGGACTGGGACTCGTCCTTGAAGTCCCTACACACGAAGTGATTTGCTAGTCCATACGATGCCCCGAGATGACTAACAACAAGGCCGAGTATGAAGCTGTGATTGCAGGTTTGAAGTTAGCCCTCAAATATGGCGCCCGACGACTCGTCCTCCATTGTGACTCTCAACTCATGGTGAACCAAGTCACCAGAACTTTCCAAATCAAAGAACAAAGACTACAAAGGTACCAGTCAGAAATTCACAAACTACTGCCAGAATTCGATTAATGCCGCCTCGACCAAATACCCAAGGCACAGAATATCGAAGCAGACGGCCTCGCCAAACTAGCGGCGGCCACCAAAAATATCAGCAAAGAAAATGTGGTCACCCTTCTCTATTCCGTAATAGACCACGTCGAGGTACATTCTGTAAACCTAACTTGGGACTGGCGCAGCCGCCTCATAGCATATTTGCAAGATGGAATGCTCCTGCAAGATAAGAAAGAAGCCAAAAAGCTCTGGGTCCAGGCAGCCATATACAACCTCGTAAATGGTGATCTCTACAAAAGAACATTCGACGCCCCCCTAGCCAAGTGTCTTGGGACAAATCAAACAAGGCGAGTACTGGAAGAAGTATACGAAGGGCACTGCGGTGCCCACACGGGAAACCGCACCCTCGTCCGATGCCTCATCCACGTCAGATACTACTGGCCCACCATGAAAAAAGAAGTTGCGGACTACGTCAGGAGATGTGAACAGTGTCAGAAGTACACCCATATGACACATCAAGCAAGGGAACTCCTTCATTCCGTCACTTCACCATGGCCATTCATAAAGTGGGGGATGGACATAGTCAGTTCCCTCCCAGCAGGACGACGTAAGGTACGTTTCCTTTTGGTTTTAACTGATTACTTTTCTAAATGGGTGGAAGCAGGTGCATATACTCAGATACGTGAGCAAGAGGTCATCGCGTTCATATGGAAAACCATAATATGCCGTTTTGGCATCCCCAAAGAAATCGGCTGCGACAACAGACCTCAGTTCTTCGAAAAGAAAATGACCGAGTTTTTCGAAAAATGGCACATCAAACGAATACTCTCCACGCCATATCACCCCGCCGGCAATTGTCAAGCCAAATCCTGCAATAAAGTAACACTAAATATATTGAAAAAAAGCTTGAGGACGCTAAAGAGCTATGGCCTGAACTACTACCGGAAGTATTATGGACATACCTCACTACGCCAAAAACCAGCACCAGATGAGACGCCATATTCACTGGTCTACGGGACTGATACAGTTATACCCGTCGAGGTCGAAGAACCTAGTTTGAGATACTCTAACGAAAACGGACCGAGCAACGACGAAAGTAGACTACATGATCTGGATGAAGTTGAAGAATGGAGAGACATGGCCCACATAAGAATGGTGGCCCAGAAGCAACAAATAGAAAGGTACTACAACAAGAAAGCCAAAGTGCGGCCGCTCAAAGTTGGAGACTACATCCTCAAGGCTAAAACACAAGCTGCAAAAGACCCTAATAAGGGAAAACTAGGAACAAACTGGGACGGATCGTACAAAATCACGGCCACAACAATCAAAGGAGCATTCCAGTTAGAGACAATGGAGGGAAAACTACTCCAAAACAACTAGAATGTCACCCACCTCAAATACTTCCACTTTTGAGTGGAGGCGCCACCTAAGTCGTACTTTTTTTCCCTCACCCGGGTTTTGTCCCAATCGGATTTTCCCGGTGAGGTTTTTAATGAGGCAACAAGGGGGATATCTCGAGGTCCGAGGTATTGTTCATTACCCAGTCCATCAACATGATCTCTGGTATGGAGTGAAGGGATTGTATATAGATAATCAAATCTCCATTGTATGTACAGAGTCGACATGAGATTCCTAAGAAAATGTAATCAAATCTCCATTGTATGTACAATGTCGACATGGAATTCTTACAATAATATAATCAAATCTCCATTGCATAAATAAAGTCGACATGTGTCTCCCTACAATAATATAATCGAATCTACATTGCATGGATAAAAGTCGGGATGTGCCTTCCTACGGGAATACGATCATACCTCCAACATGGAATGGCGAAGGCTATCGATGAAACATGAGTTCAACCTCGTTCGAACTACGAGGGGATAGTATTTCGATGACAGTAAGAAGCAACATCCCAATGGCCAAGGCCATCGACGAAACATGAGCTCGACCTCATTCGAACTACGACGGGATACTACTTCGACGACAGTTCGAAGCAACATCCCAATGGCCAAGGCCATCGACGAAACATGAGTTCGACCCCGTTCGAACTACGACGGGATACTACTTTGACGATAGTTCAAAGCAACATCCCAATGGCCAAGGCCATCGATGAAACATGAGTTCGACCTCGTTCGAACAATGACGGGATACTACTTCGATGACAGTTCAAAGCAACATCCCAATGGCCAAGGCCATCGATGAAACATGAGTTCGACCTCGTTCGAACAATGACGGGATACTACTTCGATGACAGTTCAAAGCAACATCCCAATGGCCAAGGCCATTGATAAAACATGTGTTTGACCTCGTTCGAACTACGACGGGATACTACCTCGATGATAGTTTGAAGCAACATCTCAATGGC